CGATGCCAGATGGCAGTGAGGCAGTATAGGGTCAAGACTGCATCCTGGATGGCTGCCATGTTCCCAGGCGCCTGCTGGCTCAGGCACGTGGCCATCTCCCATGCACAGTCCTGCATGCTGGCCTCCTGCAGGGAGAGCTGGAAGCGCCAGCAGGCGATGAGCTCCGTCTCGAACCACTCCGCGCAGCGCGTGTCGCTGGGCAACGCCAGCAGAGCCTGGAGCACGGACAGCAGCCCGAACTGGCTCTTCTTCCCTCCTCCCTGCACCGGGAGCTCCAGGGTGCAGCTCGTGGGGTGCGACCTCAAGAGGGCAGGGGTCATCCTCACGGCCTGCACTGGCAGCTCCTGCTGCATCCAGGCGGGGGGCCGCACCTGCGTGACATGCAGCTGGCCACCAGGCACTTGGTCTTTGAGTCCTCTGCCACAAGGATGCAGTTGGAGCCCATCTCCGCGCAAAGAGGCAAGGAGCGCAGCCCCCCCTGAATGACCAAGTGCTGCCCGCAGCGCCTGGGGCAGGGGACCAGCAGCAAATTGGCTTCCAGCTGCCTGTGCCCCTCATCTTCTTCTCCGTTCTTCAGATGCAAACTGACCCGTCCTCCCACGGCACGGCCGTAGGTCCCCTCATGCCAAGCTGGTGGGTGCACCTCCACGGGCTTCAGGGTCACAGAGAGCAGGCGGCCAGAGGACCTCAGGCTGAAGGCAGTGGAGTGCTGAAGCAGCGCCTGCGCGGCCCAGCAGGCTTCGTGGGCCACGTGTGCATAGGGTCCCAGCTGCTGGCGCCAGGCCTCTGCTGCCGAGTCCAGAAAGGCAGGTGGCATCAGCTGGCAAGCAGCTGTGGGGTGCACAGCCTGCAGCAGGCACTCGAGACGGGAAGGGAGCCCAAGACGGTGTGGCGGCAGCATTGACCCGGCTTTGCCGAAACCAGCTCTCTCCTTACAGAAAGGCACCCTGTTCCCAATCATCCTCAACCCGAAACCCTAAACCCTGTTCCCAACCTGCCTCAATTCGGAAACATCAACATGCGCAGGGTAAAGGCCATAC